CTTCTCCCGTTACTTTCTCCTCCCCCCCCCCGCCTCCAGCCAGTCGTTTCCGTGCGGTTAATCTCCAAAGAGGGAGGCGAGCTGCTGAATGACAACGCAATAAGCGCATGAGCGCTCCTGTGGCACCGCAGAAGGCACTTGTTAAAAACACCCCGCGCTCTGAATGCCTCTAGTGTTTCCTGAATTAACCGTTGGCTTTAGTTCACTGCTTCTTTTTTTTTTTTTTTTTCTGCTGTCTAGGATAAACAACCAAGGAGCAGGTAAGGTTGTTTGATTGCTGTATTGTAGAACACGATTCTGATTCTGCAGACTTGATGGCGGAGACAACATACTATGGACCAACCTGCTTGATAAACTGTTTCTGCAAGGAGCCCATCATCATTAAAACATTTCCATCCTGTTCCTTCAGCCCTACAAAACTCGATGCATCAGTCTGGGATGCAGAAACAATTATACCATATTAACGAGGCTGACACAGGCAAAACTTTTCTTCTCTAGATAGCAGTTCTATATACCACCTCCTTAGGAATTTGAATATACAAAGTCTCTGCACTCTATGCATATGAATGATGCTGCTCCTCACATGGGGGTAGGAATCTCAAATAGAAACCAAGTCCTCCCCTCTTCCTACCTACACTGAAGCTTTGTCCTGCCATGGAACTTAATCTATTGCATCTTCAAATAGTTTGGAGCCCGCTAGTCTGCCTCTAAAATTCCCTTTGGCTTTGTGAGAGAGCCATAGGCATACCTTTACAAAATAGGACCCAAAGTAATTTAGAATCCCTGAAAAATTTGTTAAACAAATTAATTGGTTGTTTGGTTTTGTTTTTTGTTTGTTTGCTTATTCTGTGATCTTCAGCAAGTGCACATAGCTGAATGGTAGTTAACACCAGCAGGGACCATTTCAGAAAGGTTTTTCAAGAGATGATAGTATTCAGCACCAATGTTATGAAGTGTTCACAACTATGCAAGCAACTGCATTCTCCAGAATTCATTTCTGTAGAGGACAGTGACATAGCTGGATCTATTCTCATCCTTTCAACTTTTCTTTTTCATTTGGGAAAAAAAAAGTCTGTAAAGATAAGGAATCTTCTTACTCAAGGAAACCTTTTCTGATGCTTAGGGAGCTCTTCTGGCCTCAGTACTCCTTGGGCTGATGACTAACATTATAAATTAGGTCTGACCTCACTAAACTTGAGAAATTTAGCCATTGCCCTTCAAGATAGAGGGATATGTAAGGACACCTTCTCCCAATCCCACCTAAGATGCCAGCACTTTATTACCTCATGCCTCTAGCTGTTCTGCTGCCTCCCCACTGCAGATATTTGACAGGTCACAAGAGTGTCCTGTGTCACACTGCTGGCCATGACACAGAGGTGCCATAGAGGTAGCTGTGTCCCCTTCATAGCTTTGCTTGTCCTGTCCCTCATGGTAGTTTGAGACAGAAATATGTCTCATCCAGCACTCCCATGGTGCTGTAGAGAACTGTCCTTGGGAATCCCAGGATCGAATGGGGAAGGTGGCAAGCTGCAGGGGCTGCAAAGGTACTTCTGCTCCTTCTCCTGCAGGGAGGATGAATAGGGTGGATAACACCAAAAGGTACAGGGCATCCGGTCCTTTGTAATCTTTTCCTTATTTACCACACTACAAAAGGCATTTACAGTTAATCCCCTTCACCCTGTCCCACTCAATCTGCTCATGGATGCTCAGTGTGCCCATAACCCTCCTCCCAGACTGCAGTCCTGTTTTGGAAGCCACAACTGTTTCTGGAAAGAGCTGAGGGTCCAAGCAAAACTGATATTCCAACCACTTCTGGAGATTATATGTCTTCTTTCATCTTCTGACTATCGCCTGGTGCAGCCACCTCCTGTAAGAGTTCTTAAAATTTCCGAGCTTGCTTTTTAATGCATCTGGGATTACTGCCATGTAATGTCACATTTGACATTTTGTAAGACGCTATCTCTACTGTAATAGACTGAGTATATTTCTTGATTTAATTAAAAAAAAATCAATGCATCTGGAGTAAATTTCTCTCTAGAGAGGCTTGTAGAGGATAAAATGAATGGGATTCTTTTGATTAATGAATTATTTTTTTAATCCAGTGTGGTATCAACTGCAGTAATGGTGGCCATATTTATATATAATTAGTCTGGAATTATTTTTCTGACTTTGTTTTTGCAAATTATAGTCCCTAGGAGTACATAATCCATCTAAATGTATACAGTAGAACTGCACATGCATCCTGCTGAACAGATTAGGAAGGTTGTTCGTTCCTTTTTTTTTTTAAGTAGAAGCAAATGGCTCCCTTATAGGAATGAAATTTTGCTCGTGGATCTGAAAGGGCAGACCTAGTCCACAGCTGAGATAGTTATCACCAATCTCTAGTTGAGGGGGATGGGACGAGGCAGGTTGTGAGTGCGCCAAGGGAATGTAGCACTAGATAGCTTTGGGATTGAGCACTGGCATGCTCGACAGAGCGCTGCAGACTTTGGACAATCCAACTCCTAACATTGCTGTGATTCCTAAGGTAAAGCAGTCCCGTGTGAATTCCCAGAAAAGCCCGAGTTCACTTGATGACAGGATGCCTCACTAGATGTCCTGGAAGCTGCTGAGAAGCTCTGAGCACTAGTGTGTGAGAAATTCCCAAGAGACCATTTAAAATGCAGAAGAGCTAGTCAAAAGGTGGCACTGCCAGAATCTCAAAGTCTGCTTTGGAACCTATTAACTTGGAAAAGCTGGCAATAACCTGGGTAGATGTCTTTAAAGATATCTGTTTTCATTGAAATGATACCATCTTTGTAAAATGCCTGAGAAAGAAAAACCTTTCTCTGGTGGAAAACTAGCTCCTAGAGTGAGGTTTCTAACAGACCATCTTTTTGGTGAGCTCATTACAAAGGCTGGCTCTGACCAGGTGAGAGTAGCTGTTGTGCAGAATTGAGCATTGCACAATGCATAGAGATATGGGATGTTTTCATCTGTGCATAAGCATCCTATTCACTAGGAAAAAAAGTACCATTCAGGTGAATGGACCCCTTCATAAGTTTGCCATATGCTGTAATCCTGTCAGAAGTGTCAAAAACCATTCTGCACACATAGGATCCTCCAGCTGGTTGAGCTGTGTCTTTGTAGCTCTGTTCTTTCCTACTTTCCAGGCACTCCAGGGTCACGTCCTAGTGAGAAGCAGAGCTGGTAATGGAGCAGTTGAGGAAAAAATGTGGAAAAAAAGCATAGTTTAATGTTGAGATGCTTGAGATGGCAGATCTTAGGGCGTTTTGGGGCACGTTGCTTGTGTGAGGGAAGAATAAAAGTGAGACGATTTGGAGCAGCAGGTAGAATTCAGGTCAGTCAGAGACATGAGAAGACACCAAAAGGTTATTGCAATGCTGGGGTC